AAAAGACCACCCTCAAGGCGGCCGTCACGATACTGAATTTTCCAAAACTGATAATGCACTCACAACAATGCAGTTTTGTGAACGGTTCGGAATGCAATCCTCCTCCACAGGACCTCCCCAACTACTCTGCTTTGCTGTACTTTACTTCGGTTATCCCTCTGTGAGGATGAGTTTGCATCTTGTAGATATCGAGTCGCGGCCGCCGAGCAGTAGTTGATGGTAAGCCTCTGGTGGATATCGATCGAGAGGCGTTCCCACTACTTTTGACAAAGTAGAGAGGAGTCAAATAACTAGAAAAACGTGGAATTTAATAAGGGTAAAATAAACATAGGTGTTCTGTGTCGTAGTCAAAGGCTTTTCGTTACATATATATATATTGAATATCGTACCGACCGAAATATGAGACGGCCTTTGTGCAGAATATTAAGCTCTCAACAACCTTATGAGTAGTGTGTTACATTTTTACAGTATTCAGTGTGGTTGCTCTAGTGTGCTTGGCATGCATTATCTCAGGAATAGCATTTTCAGTGGCCCAAGTCAGCAGGACCGCTCTGTGTTAGTTCTTCACGCAATTTTTCAAGGGCATCGCTTGTCACTGATGGATTTACAGTAGCGGGACGACTGGCGAATTACTAACTGACCAGTTCCCATACTCATGATTGTTTGATGTGTTTACGCACCCATACACACTGCTTGTCTCAGAGAGTCATGGTGATTATATCACCATTTATTTGCTTGGTTATTTGGACCCGTAATCTCACCAAGTGTTTCAAAAATGACTCTGAGAAGGACGTTACTCTTCCACGACCGTGGAACCGAAGATAAAAACCGTAAGAAAGCGGCAGGCAGTAGATGGAGAATTTCTGACAAATTTAAGCAAGTGGATGCCAGAGTGATGCATTTCAGCAAAAATGGTCTCAGTATTTTGTCTAGGCGTCACATACTACTCACAAATTTGCTGATAGCTGTTCGACAGCCAACGATCGGTTTCGCCCTTCTTGGGGCTCATCAAGTGGGCACAGTTCCCGAGTTTTCGTCAACTATATATCCTACTTGAACCCAAATCGTGCATATTCCGACAAATGCCCTCATTTGCACACAAATTCGGTTTTTACAGGAGACTCAACTGAATCCAGCTGACCATCTCTCGTTTATGATGGTCCGCTGTGTTACAAATCCCACAGATGCGTTTAACATTTGATTTTTCAGCTGCTTGCTGGGTTAGTTCGATTAATTCTTGTGTTCTTCTTGTGTTCTTAACTTGGGTCAAAAAGTGTGAAAACAACCGCAAACTGCGAGCAAAACTGCTTACCGCATCCTCTTCTTCCGCCGCATTGTCTTGGGTCAGTTTAACCCATATTGTGTGGATTGATTGGCCAACACTAGCCAACCAGTGCGAGGGGATGTTTTATAATATAAATAATTTAGTCATCTTTCGCCATAGAGTTGAACTCAGATTGGACCGTCTACTTCATGACAAACCCTGACCTAGCCTACCTTGAACTGAGGACCGGGCATTTAGGTGTCATGCCAACCGGCTGGCCACCTCAGACTGGCCGCGGCATAGCGTCAGGTCACGCGATTTCACGGTCAAGATGAATTGCACAGGATGCGTCGTCCAAACACAGACCAACTACCGATGTCGTACCTTGATACCCTATCTCTGTCCTCCTTGTATTTCGATAATGACCACAAAATCAAATGCGACGTTATTTAATTTTTGAAGGAGCTTCGAAATAGCCGACATCTGTTATGATTAATAAATTGAACTACACTTTACGGTGAGTTCAACAGTTGGCAGAAGATGCGCATTTCGAATCTCTTTTAGGGTCCAAGAACAATGTAGTGCAATGTTCCAGCAACCAAAAGACATTCAAGGTCCTCATTAAACGGAAGCTGAACTGAGAAGACACAGGCCAACTATTCAGAAAGTTATTTATTGGCGAAATATGCAAATCAATTCTCAACGTTCTGCCTTCAAGTAGTTATGCACAAACGCGAAGTTTTTTTTTTTTTATCGACCGCATCTGGTGCACATAACGGGTGAATGGCGTAGGACGCCAATGGTGCTTGGTGTTGTTTGCTTCCAGTTGCAAGGGTAAGAGCCGATTCAGAGTCCACAGTAAAAACAACACGTGACAGGACAATACAACCAGCCAGCGGCCGTAGGAATTCGGTTCAAAGTTTGCGCACATAACGGGTGAATGGCGTAGGACGCCAGTGGTGCTTGGTGTTGTTTGCTTCCAGTTGCAAGGGTAAGAGCCGATTCAGAGTCCACAGTAAAAACAACACGTGACAGGACAATACAACCAGCCAGCGGCCGTAGGAATTCGGTTCAAAGTTTGCTGACCAATCGTAGGAATATCCCACAGTGTGCAGTTGAAGGCTGACGCGTGCAAGTTCAAATCAGGGGGGTTTCACCTGCTTTAGTCAGAAATGCGGACAAACGATCCGAGCACTGCGAACAAACAAGGTCCGATTGACACAAACAACTAAAGAAACAATCTTGAGTTCAATCAAGCACAGTCAGGAGGATTTGAGTTCGAGACGGCGTCCAGGAAAATATTTTTTAAACTAATAAAACCCCAGTGGTTTTGTATACAAAATGTGAGATTTCCCAGGAGCGAACCAAGGATGTTTTTCTGGTCGATTTCCGGAATTAATATATTGAGATAACTGTTCTGATTGCATCCGGTATCGGTTAACTGATAGATGATTCGAGCAATATGAACTTGTGCTTCAACTGTATCTTCTGAAACGCGTGCGGTTTCATTGATTATTGACCAATCACAGCCTTTGATTTGCCGTCAATAATTGGTCGAAAAAGTACTTATGAATGTCGCGAACAAAATCCTTCATTTGGCAGCTGAGTATTGTATCTGCACGTTCTCATATGAGACCTATAGAATGTGACCTAGGAAAAAGCTCGAGTACTGTACTGATCAGTTTGACCAAGGTATATGAGAGATTGTCAACCGGTACGATTGACTTACCGTCGGGACTGCATACAAGTGAACAGAAAAACCGAACTTCTGAATATAACACATATTCTTGCGCTAAACGTACCTCTGTACTATCTGAGCCCCTCTGAGTGATCCGGAATTCCTTGGACAAGAACTTAAATTTACGCCACTAATACTTTGCTACATACAGTACATTAAGTTCCGCTAAGGTAGATTACTTCGTCAAGTTCCTCTCCTGTGAGTGACCATACTTTGAGTGGGAGGGGTACCGTGATCTCAATCGATGTATGGACTTGTTGCGACTCGAAAAATCGATTTCCCTGTTGTGAATTATGTCCTCATTGAGGTGCCAAAAAAATGAATATTAGCAAGGAGGATATCTAACAGGATGCTGTCTAATATACTCTGAAGAAAAGCTTCTTCATCTTCTTTGGTAGCAAAACGTCAGCAATACATATCAGCGCTTAACTGCCAAACAACTTTGAGAGGAGAAAACCCTAGTGAATAGTGTAAGGAAAGTGAAGGGTAGGGACCTACTGCAAAGAATCCCTGAGTTCTTTAGGAAAATAATCATGAGTAATTACCATGCACCATTTGACAGCCCTTAAATCAACACATCTGAAGATCGTACCGAATTAGGACACCACCAACCGGATTGACCCAGTATTTTTTACGGACCTCATCCGACATGACCACAACACAGATGCTTTCTCCTGTAGTTGAATGACCTGTGAAAAAGGACGATACGCGACTTAGGGTGATTTGTCTGCACGTACGCGTTCTAACCGGTCTTACTTATGTTTCGATCAGCTGACTTGTTCGTTCCGTTGATTTTGCACAAAACGACTCTTGTGCTATGTAGCGATTACCATCCAGCAGAATGAACACAGTTGATGTGTTCTGGGTAGTTTACAGTGTGTGAGTAATTTTCGTTTCATAAGGGTGTGTGCACAATCCTTTGGACAAAGTGTAAGACTGTCTCCTTTTGGCTGAATCATCGGACACCGGTTTGCTTAAACAAACTGTCAATCACACAGTTTTTCCACCACTATCACCACCACTACACATTTCCAAACATTCTTTTCTAGATACGCACTCACACATTACAGATTGGGAACTACTTGTAGTTGCCCTGCTTAGATTTTCCTCGACGAATCTGCGACGATTGACGTGGCACGCTGCGTTTCACGGTCACTTTGGATTAGTCTCGACAGTAACTTTCATAACAAAACACGCATGCGCGTCGGTGCGTAGTTTGTTATTCCCTAAGTTGTTGCACAGTTTTGTTGAGCATGTCTGCAAAGAGCCTGGTGTGTGGGATCTTGTACTTTCCTGTGGATCCGTGTACACAATCTATGGGACGAGCGCACAATGCTCCGCATCATTCTATATCAGAAGCATCTCCCAGGGATATCCAGCAAAACAGTTCTCTAAAGTGTATTGAGGAATTTAAATTCACACAGCATAATGTCATGGATATACACCACGTGCTGGAGGGATCGATTGGCTTTTGCAGCTGCTCAACTGCGATTTTCCTTTATGGAGAATACCGCACACAAGAAGACGACTTCCTCCGTTTTCATATTTCTCTGATGAATCCTCAGTAGAGAGAATGCACAGGCACACACGCCGGAAAAAGTCAACTTGTGCGAATAATACTTACAAATGATTGTTTTGGTCACCGAAATTTGGCGATGGGCTTCACTCGGTCCTAAACTCTGAATAGACAAGACGATCGTATATGAACCAGTCTTTCTGGATTCCGTCGTCCCAACTTCAGCCATAAGTGAAGTGGAAAATATCCCATGTTCTTAGAGAAAAACTCGTAGAATCGTAATAAATTCCGATTTCACGTCGGTTGCCAGCATCGACTAAACGCATGCAGTTCTAACGTTGTTCTCTTTTGGTCGGTTCCCTTTCTGCACACAAACCATGTTCTCAGTGTGATTAATATTGAGTAAATATGAACAAAGAACGATATTCTTTTAGCGAATATACATTCATTTAGAAACTAATTTGGTTTTTCGGGAGACTCACCTGGGACCCAGCTGAATCACTCTCGTTTGTGATGTTTCCAGGCAACTGAATGTGCTGCACCAGGCCGCCTCAGTCGCTAGGATATTCGAGATATCGCGATACATGTATATTTGTAATGCACTACTTATAAGGTTGCTGAAAATTCGTCGTGGTCTGTTAACGATATCCTTTCGTTTTCATGTATGCAGTGTACGCTAACAGCTGCATGAACTTCCCGGAATATGGCATCGTGTATCTTTGGCAGACCATAACTATATGAAGTGCGTCAAAGCCATCCGAACTGCACCGTTACATCAGCAATATCACTTACTACGTGCAACAATTTGTGTCCAGTTGGTTTAGGCAAGTGAAGTTATTAATGGGGTGATGAGATGATAAGGGAAGCGATCCTTGTACGCTAGTCCGTGATCAAGGAAACAAATCTCCTTCGGAGAGAATTCCTTGTACAAGGAACAATTTTGATGGGTTCTGTTGGCGTTATCTCCAAAGCGGAACCATCGTGCTTACCTGAAGGTGTACGGAATTCTCCATAAAGAAGGACCATCCTGTTTAAGAGAATCGTTTCGGTCCTGCTTATTTAGTGACTTTTCTACCGTTGCTAGCAGGTCGGGCCGTTGTGGATTCTCCATAGAAATCACATCTTTGTAGAGAGGGTTGGTTTGAAGACGACATTGACTTAGTCATCAGCACCGAGAGGCTTGAAGCTGTATTGAACACGGTAGAATCGCTCCTCCATTATGTTTGTACATAATACGGCCACAAAAACTGCCATCAGGAACAATTGCACAATCGAATTCGTTCACACTTACATCTTATCAACTATTTGGTTTTGGATAATAGTCCGACCAAATCTCTAGACATTGTTTGGAATCGACCGGCCCGCTTGTTGTTCACAATCCAGTCCTGTTCTTCGTAAGAATTGCTTTCCTCCTTGTCCGTAAGTTTCCTTGTCATTCGCCGCCCCCCATGGATTATATATTCCGTGAAGCTCAAATGACTGACGCGCCGCACTCGCGAGTTCGTTCCATTTAATGTGTCATGTCATGTTTGTCTGTGTTGCTTGCAACAGGTTGAATTGGAACGCCCAACACATAGTTTGTCATAGTGTTTCGCATCATCCGTTATGGTTGTCCAACGGTGACCATTTTTTGTCGTCGTTCTATTGCGAAGTGGAATGGTGATTACTGCTATTGTGTCGCTCCCACATTATACTTGGAGGCCTGGATACAGTAGCAAAAAAATTATGCTGACGCGTCAATCGTGATCAGATCGAGTCCAGCCGGATTCGTCTTATCAGGCCCATTTAGTCACCGTTTAAAACGACTTCGAAACTGTCTTTCTTGTTTTCAAAGCATATTACGACAGATATGGATAGTCTGACTTCAGTGCGAAAAGTTCATTTTATCGGCTTCCAATAAAACATCGATACAATTACCATTTGGCAGTTGAATAGTTAACTGATCGTACTGGACAAAAGCAAACCTTCCAGCTTTGTAAGGCTCCAAAGGTGAAAATAAACCTAATGAAGCTTTTTGAATGCGGTAGGTTTTATTCCTTTGTTGTGTCAATTTGTTTGGGAGGAATTACTTTCCTATCTCAAGTGAATAATCGCCTATTACAACGCGGAAAGTTTTGCAAATATTTCTGGGTTCAGTTCTTCGGGCCGGTTTGGGACACACTGTCAGTAGTTTTCAAACCTTGTGGGTTTTTCAGATATCCTTCACACTTCGGTTTCCTGTTCTCCGTAGTTTCCATGATCCCAATCGGTCTGGATGGGGGTAGCGTGATCAAAGAAACCGCGTTACCACTTTTGAATCATTGCGATGATTAGCGGGAACACATACGGGGCTACTGTTTAAGGCCCACAAAACGCAACCCGGTTATTTTCGCAATGTGTTGTTCTCCTATTGTGCAGGATTTCACTTATTAGCCCCAGACGCGTTCAGCATCGTCGATACGATCGTTCTAACAGTGCCTTTGCAAGCAATAACACGAAAAGAGATAGCTAGTACACAACAACTACAAAAAACTTGGAGACTCTCGATTGAGTTTCAGCTGAGTCTGCCGTAAGATTACTTGAATCGACAGTCAGTGTTCCAGCAGTTTGTGTTTTCGAAATATGATGTCTTAATTCTTATTGAACGCTTGCTATTTTATCCAAGGAGGACTTCCCCTGGTTTACTACCACATATCCACGGGCTTGAGCGCTCTTCACAAACTAGTTTTTCTAAATTTTCACGATACTCACGACTGACATGAAAAGTAGAAAACCATCGACTTGGCCTTTTTATAAGTGACAATTATAGATCAGAAGCGGTCATTCCTAGGAAAACAATCCATTACGTGTTTTGTCTTTATCCGAATTCAACGGACGAACGCAACAGAATACGATGCCCCGATGTTCAGCTTCACAAGTTCAGCCCTAATATTAGTGGTCACCTACCTCATTTCTGTGCATGGCAGACAAATTCGCTTAGTATTCGGATGACCGAACTCTGGCTTAATCATGTTCATCGTTTTCCTCAAAAATAATTGCTTATTTCAAACGTTCGGCTCTCATGAGAACCAGGGTAGGTTCGTCATTACTGATGAAGAAATCCAGGGAACACGCTGTAATGCCAGAACTGATGACGAATAACTGAAGTGTGCCGGTTTGTGCGTGTGTGTGTGTACTACTCAAACAAACGAATGTGCTACATTTTTGCGGATTATTTACTGTCAAACCTTTGGCCTCAACTAATGAATGCGCATGCACTCCCTTACTTTCACTCGTTTTATCTCGGTTTTTGGAGACCTTGGTATGTTAGCTTTCTGAGTCTAACAGTTTTTCTTCCTCTCCATAGTATCTTACGTCTCCACATGGAGAGATGGCATCTTGACACCTCTGGCTGTCAACAACCGACAGCTGTTTCAATTGGAAGGTCCAACTGAACACTAAATCACCAGTTTTTTTTATTAATTTCTTTGGTATCATCTCCTTCCGACAGAAGTTTGTCCATTGGGATGAGCTTATCTGTCATCATGCCTTTAGGATCACATGCAACTGCAAACAGGCAGCTGATGAAAACGGTGACGTTAGACGTTTTCGCCACGCTGCTCTCGTTTCATTTATCGATTTTTCTACCTGCACTGGCTGTAAAACAATGACTGCCATGTGATTCGGATTCGCCAAGTGCGAGTTAGCTCAGTTCTCAACTCGTCTCATCCCCCTTCCGACTCGTCTGTTCCAATGTGCGGATCAATCATATACGTGTTCTCTCGCGCTCCAGCCGGTTGGAGAATGGGGGTATTTTGAACGTAGTCTAGACAAAGCGTCATTTGAGAGCAGCCCGATAAAAGTATGCGTCAGCGTTCCGAGTGTGTGCAGATGAGAATGTCCGCAAACTGGACCCGATAGGTATGCATCATGGTCTTTTGGGGTTTGTGCGTCAGCGTTCGGCTGCTTGTGCAGTCTGAACGCAAACTACGATAGGTATGACGCCAGTTACTGAATCCAGCTTTCTCATCACCTTTCTTGAATGACATCTGTTAGCACAGTCTGGCAGTGAGATGTAGATTTAGATGTCCGATTCGAACTGCTGTGTTTTACCATAAACTTCAACTATACAACTCGGTCTAAATGATACTTCATGTGTCAAAGCTGCAGCTGATGACGGAGATTCATGATATCTGAACACAGGCTTCATTCATCTACTTTGTCAACAAAACTCGACAAGTGAAGTTTCATCAGCTCCGATGACGAACAATAACCCAACTGGTATTTCTGGCCAGTTTTATTCGATAGTTCGTCCTTCCAGGATTCAATAATGGATTTTGAAAGTAGTCTTTTCTCATTCGGAGTTGCATTTTCGGAAAGGCAGATTACAACCCGCTGTCCAGGAAACCAATCCTCCAGAACTGAAGTGGAAACGCTTTCTAGTTCCCCAAATTCTTGGTGTATCCCCAACAATACCTTATTATAAATATCGCCACCTGTTGAGCTCCAAGAAGATCGAAACTGGTCGTCGGCTATCGAAGAGTTTGCAGCAACGTTATGAGTTGTACATTACGTCTATACAATGTACCGTGATATCTCGAAACATGAGGCGGCCTGATGCAGCACATTCAGTTGTTTAAGAACCTCGTAAACGAGAGATTCAGTTTGGTTCCAGATGAGTCTCCAGTCGAAGCCAAATTGGTATGCAAATGAGTGTATTTCGCCAATCACTACAAGGAGTTTATGTCACAGACATATCTGGTGAACTAGCTGTCACAGTTCGGAGTCAGTTATCCGTCATTTAACCGAAAGCGGGGAAAACACAACGCTGCGGAAATCTCCGTCAGCTTTACTTCGGGGTCGGTTTTAGTCCAACGACTAAAGGATATGTTGCCAACATCCGGTGTGTACACGACTTCACTTGTTCCTGTTGAGCGAGTTATTTTAGGCGGAATATTGCATCAAAGCCGCTTTACCACTCGCTTTCGGGCGCTCGTACGGCCAAGAAGCGATTGGTCACAAGACGGAGCCACTTGCCGGCACAGCATCAAGTTTGACCGGAAGTGTAAACTCAACAGCCAATCGTGATTCAGCATCCACCGAAAGCCGGTTGCCAATATCACGTCCAGATTCCCGGAATGTTGTTGCTTCGTACTCCTTGATTTTGGGTGACTACTACACTTTGTGCTAAAATGGCTACCTTGAGAGAATCAGCCCGAGAACTGAGTCGAGACATTACCGTTACTGCAGAGTTATGTTACGTGTCCACGAACACTATTCGGTTTCTCCTAACAGCGGATCGATAAAACGACTGATCACCACTATCCTAACTAATTCAGTCGTGTCTGATCACTCCGTAAACATCAATCAAACGTTCCGACCGATTGACTGTAGACTAATCCAGACGTCGACTATCATTGGCAGCTATTTGAGTGCGCACACTCGGCTTATCTCGGACACGTGCCTTTGACGTGCTTCAACAAGCTCACATACTGACTGATCAATATGTCTTTTCTGGCCAGTTGCCCTACTACACGTGTTTGTACTACTTCACCCACTCATGCCATTCCTGTGTGCTGTATTTAGCCCTCTGGTGAATCGCTGGAAATGAACTGGCTTTCCATCCAGTTTTTTAGCTTGTTTCTCGGGGCTAAGCACTTTGAACTGGACTTTGAATGAACTTAACTTGAAATATTTTACGATTGAGAAACCGAGTGAAGGGAATATAGCTAAAATATAGGGTGAAGCGACGTACGACAACCGAATATTTTTTTTTAAATTCCCAACTATTGTCACTGTTTTCGTCGTTACGTTTGAATACATTTCCATGTTTAACAGTTCACATTCGATTTCACCTTGCTGAAGAAACACCATTTGCTAATCGCCCAGGTAACGGTGACCGAACACCATCATACAGGTTCACTATTTTGCGTTAGTATGTGCACGAATATGTAAAGTTTCCGTTTCAGACGAAATGGAAGGTTCCATTCCACGTTCACAAAGCATCCAAAACCAAGTGACGTTTCGGTTCACATTCCCTAACGAGTGTTATTCGGTTAACGGATAGTAAACGATCTAGCCAATCTCATACGATATCATACAAAGTAGATGGTTATATCCCGAAATAGTGAGATGACTGGGGCTCAGAGCAAGACCATAGGAAACGGATGGTGAAAAACTGAAACAGTGGAGAGCTGTTATTGGCAGATATGTAGCCAAGTCTTCTGTGTAAACTGCGTAAAGTGATCTTAGAAGCGTAAACCAGGAGTCCGAGCTAAAGTGTGACTGCTTTGTGTAGCATTCAGCCGTATGGCCACTGCTCCAAAGTTGAAACTGATTCTAAAAGTCATTGGAAAAGTGAAACAGTTGTCGAACACACCTCCGTAATCGAGATGCAGGAAGATGAACAAACCGCCATGGCGCGAAACAAGACACACGACACACTGCAATAGATCATCGCCTTGTGCCATCGATGAGAAAAGTGGATATTCGGCATTAAGAAGCTTCATCCGGATAGGCAAATGATGCTGGTGGTATGGTAAAGTAAAAACTACCCAAGTTTCCAGTCGACAGGGCTTTGGAGATAACTCTATGCGGTTTTGTTGACGTAAGAATTTTGGTAGCGATATCACCAGGGACAGGAACAATAGTAAAGTACGTCAAGGTAACCTCACTGCTTATCGGATAACCGAACTGAATACATAGAGTTCCAGTACGATGGTAACTTTGTACATCTGGTAAATCGTTATCAGGAAGAGAGTTCAGTTTTGGTGTAGATTTTGTCCTGCAAGTGAGGTCAGTCTATGCTGAAAACCCGAGATTGGCTCCGCTTACAGGGCGAAATCTACACTGAAATTTCCAAAATCTCCTCACACCACTAAGAGAGAGTCCATTTTCAAGATTCCTTACCGTTGACGAACTCATGACAGTTGTATTACATAAGTGAGACAAATCTTGTGTTCTTCTGTCCATCTTTGTCACGCAGGTTATGCAGGCCTATGGTGCTGCCTGCACTGAAAGCCAGTCCAATGGTGCATTGCTCATTTGCGTGATTGGAGGTCGATTGAGTGAAGGAATCAACTTTAGCGATAAACTGGCCCGAGCTGTTATCATTGTTGGAATGCCGTATCCGAATCCACAGTGTCCTCTGGTGAGTATTCTTTCTACGGGTTCCATATAGCTGCATCAATGTTTGTTTTTCTGTGGGAAAATTGACCTCCTACTCACATCGTCTTCAGTTCATTAGCTGAATTATTTCAGGTTTTCCTATCCTTCATTGGAGAATTCCTTGAATCCTTGGATGGCAAATATCCGCAACTGTATAACCATTCCAGTCAAGCCCATTTGCACTCACTTCGTGAGCTTTCCTCCTAGAAACTACCAAGTTTGATGGTCGCATCTGTCCGCCTGCTTTCATTTGGTTTTCCGGTGGCGCAAAGCGGATACTTAACCATGCGCTACCACAACTTTACCACAGTAACGCACAAACAAGTAGGAAGGAGGGAGCACGCCCCTTTGCCGGTCGCGCAAACCGAACAGACATTCTTCTACAGGGACTCAATGAGACAAAAAGAGTCGCGTGACTGAAGCACGTAAAACCTAACACGATCACTTTAATCCCATACTGCAGCAGAATGGCGATTCTCTCCGCGTTTTCGAAACCCGTATCTCTTCCGCACTCTATACAAAAGATCTAAATGGACAACGCGGCTCATTTCAATTTGTCCCGAGTTAATCGGGCTTCGAATAGGTATCACGACACCCATTAATCCAGCTCACACACACAAAGGATCTGGCCAAAGTTAGATACATGTGAGTTAGAACCCAGTGTCTGGTTTTTCACACAGTTCACCCTTTTTGATTAATATAGAATTGGAAGACACCTTACGGGGTATCCGACCTTCAGACAGCCCCTGAGAGTCCCTACTATATCATATTCAAGAAAAAAACGAGTTTTACCATCTAGAACACTCCAAAAGAGGAACGGTATCTCCTTGTCAATGCAGTTTGCACCGTCTCTATGCATTTACCACAGTCCTGTTTGTAAACTATATTATATATTGTCTTATATGTATTGCGTATCATATATATCATACATCAAAAACTACATTCTATGTACGCCTAGGGAGTTGGTGAGGAGGACAGTATGCGAGCAGTAAAAGAATGTGTTCGTGAATATATCGTTCAAGCTTCAGTCTAGTAAACTGCCTCTATTGCATCGTTCATTGGATGTAATCTAGAAGTCCGTATACCATCTTTGTTGAGTTTGGTATCCCAATTTATTTTATTTTACCATCAGAATCCCAGTTGGTAGTTAACAAAGCTTGAACCATCATAATACGAATCTGCCGAAGGTTTCCGTATGACCTGCGAATTTTAGTTGAACTGGATAGTAGATACAATGATAGCTGTCTATCTCGTTCGATAGATTGTTTCAATTACACACAGAACCGATCGGAAGTGATTCAGTTGTATGCCAGTCAGGTGTCGTCTTTTCACGTGCCGTTAGAATTGTGATTGCTCACAGATTTCAGCACAGCCAGTGTGAAAATCTTTTGATCATTTGACTCTATAATCAATCAATAGAGCTAATCGGCTTGTCAGTGCCGTACATTGCTAACATAGACGCCGAACAGAGCGTGTTGACGGTAATAAATTATATTATTTATCAAGTAATCGTTTGGTTCCTTGGAATCAGCCGGAACTCAAGGGGATATGAGACTAGCAAGTCACTGCAGCACTTACTTTTCGTCTGTTTATCGTCTTTTCTACCTCTTTGTACTTCCTTTTGGTAGTTGTTTGAATGTTTCTTCATGATAAAGATCACCTGCCGAATTAGAAAACATGGTCTGTTTCCTGGGCTATTGAGCTTGGATTTAATATGCCATTTCTGACTCTAGCTGGCAAGATTTCAAATCGAATCAGTTCCTGTTTATTCAAGAAATATCAGTTTGATTTTTCGGGCTTGTTCTTATTTTCTCCGTCGATGTATGTAGGATAGGCCGTCCGGTCAATTTTCTATCTCGTTCCGTTCTCCACGATCTCGCGAAGCATCACGATTGCTTTCTGACACTGCGATTATTTGTCTCCAAATCGTCGGGTTACTCAGATGTCTTCTCACCCGGGTGAGACTGAACACAAATACCCTAGGATTTGCAAATTTGTGAGATAAACATCTTTACACTCTGGAGAAACCATCCGAAAGAACCTGCTGAAAGTGTTGTCATCTGGGAGGAGCCTAACCATCAAAAAGAGACCAACCAAAATGGTCACTTTCGAGAGCTGGTCCTCCTCAGTATCCTCTCTACAGAGGAAGAAAGCGCTGCTTCCGTAACCTGATAAATACCTGGTTTCAGACAACTCATGGTCGCAGAGTAAATTAACAGATTAGATTATTGACTAGTGTTTGATAAAGATTCAACTCGCATCAGTGGCCGGACTACTAAGTATCATAAAAGTAAACAGTCTGTGCGGGCTCGGATATTTTACTATGTGCTTGTGAATTCTATGCAAACCCAACGGATTGAGATCAGTGGGCAAACTCCCAGAGGACCCTTGGGATCCATCAGCTTGCCTAAGACAGCTGACACTGCACTGAACACGAACGCTTCATGGAATAGTGAGATACTTTTGTCATCCATCATCATTATAATATCGCGCTTCCACTCCAGAATATCAGGAAGCATATCTGCTGAATACCGCCCAGTACAAACCACTTCGATTATCGTTAACAGACGGACGGTATAAGTGCATCAAGGGCGCAGTTTTTTCTGATTACAGCAAATCCTCTGCAAATTAGCCACAAATGCTTTGCGATTAATACAGCATGAGTGGGATGGTAACTTAAAAGTTCGGTTTTGTTCACACAGATGTATCCGCGAATTGACCTGCTCCATAGGTTTACTGCTACTCGTGTTTTTGCGTTCGTCTCGAGTTTGCGTTCAAGTGGGGAGACAACGGGTCTCGAAATGATGTGCATATGTATAGTATTTGTATATGTATAGTCTATCTATATGTATAGTATGTATGCATGTATATGTATGGTCTATGCATATATAATCTTGAGCTGGGTATCCTGTTCTCAGCCAATGACAGATCATGCTCATTTCAGGTGGGGTCTGAGTCCTTAGTGAGTGTAACTTGTTGGGATCCAATTCGTTGTACGTTGACCACATCGAGAGACTTCAGCTAGCCAATGCATGAGATGCGTATTATCAGTGCCCAATAGCGAGGTCAATATCTGGGTCTTGGTGTGCTCTTCAAACATTAGCCTTGCGAACCCGGGACGCTACAAACAGAATGCAACATTGTTGGGAATCGTGTCGGTGGAATACCTTGACTGAGAGCCCATAGGTTTCCCACGGGCCTCAGTCGGCAACTTTAATGATCACTGAACTACTTATGAGTAGGTACAACTGGATAACTTTTGATCATGAAAGCCTCAGGGACATGCAGTTTTCCCCCGTCGTTCCGGCACGGGCGTCAACCTTGATGTTGTTTCCGTTCCAGCTACTCAGTTCAATGACAGACCGCATCCTACTGATGTTCATCATTCTCGTCATCCCCCTTCCATTGACTGAGTATCCTAGTGCACCCACTCGTGTTCCCTATCCGGCTAACAATCCCTAAGGCGAAGCCGCTCACACTGCACAAGCTAACATACTTATTTCTCTAGAACGAACAGTCAGCCCAATGTGCGAATTTGGCGGGTTATAACCCACCCGCTTTGATTTCATCTTTGGAAAGAGAACTATAATTCGATGGTAAGCGGGAAGTACATCGTAGGATTGTTAAATTGAAAAATGGAAGTGTTCGCTTTGATTTCGGCTACATAAGAGGAAGCCGTTTATTCCGTACTCTGTATGCACTGGATCTTTGATAAATGGACCGTTCTGTTGGTAGTAATGTCCTATCCGTGTGTTTCCTCTACCTTTAAATGCAAAATATTTTGGGTTTTCTGTCGTTCCGGACGGGCGTCAACCTTGATGTTGTTTCCGTTCCAGCTACTCAGTTCAATGACAGACCGCATCCTACTGATGTTCATCATTCTCGTCATCCCCCTTCCATTGACTGAGTATCCTAGTGCACCCACTCGTGTTCCCTATCCGGCTAACAATCCCTAAGGCGAAGCCGCTCACACTGCACAAGCTAACATACTTATTTCTCTAGAACGAACAGTCAGCCCAATGTGCGAATTTGGCGGGTTATAACCCACCCGCTTTGATTTCATCTTTGGAAAGAGAACTATAATTCGATGGTAAGCGGGAAGTACATCGTAGGATTGTTAAATTGAAAAATGGAAGTGTTCGCTTTGATTTCGGCTACATAAGAGGAAGCCGTTTATTCCGTACTCTGTATGCACTGGATCTTTGATAAATGGACCGTTCTGTTGGTAGTAATGTCCTATCCGTGTGTTTCCTCTACCTTTAAATGCAAAATATTTTGGGTTTTCTCCCCTGGGGCGTTTTTCTTGGTACGGAGAACGCGACACTCAGGAGTGATTAGAAAAACTACCAGTGTGATACTAGTCTCAACGCCTGAAAAATGTTATTTTTGGATCGTCATATTGTTTCTGTAGTTAGTTAGCTAGGATGCTGGGACCCAAGGTTTTTTTATATGACTTTTACTGCAAAATGTGATCTGTTTTTGGAATTTGTGCAGTGTCCTAGTTAAGTTAACGCTGAGTTCAGAAAAGAACGGAATCTTTGAGAGCAAACAGGCTCCATACCCAAAGATTCAAAACGGGTCAACATAAACTATGCCTGTCACGTGTTGCACTTTGTTCACTGAATTCAATACTATGTCCATATATCCTTACAAATTTTCAGTGTGTACAACGTGTGAAAGAATATGTTACCGTTTCTGTGTCGCTCTTTTGATTGCCTGGTGCATATGTAGTAAGTCAGTGAGTTTATGAAAAACCGTCAGCATGTGACAGCAAATTTATTAACTGAAGATGACGGTCAATAATACGGATATGGGCCCCTGTACACCTTCGTAGAAAGACCAAGCGAATAGGATAAGCACTTATGCCGATGAAACAGGAAGCAGATTTGAGGGAATTCAGGTCATTCGTGTGTACACTGTCAGCAAGAAATCGCCCAGGACAACTATTATCTGCTGAGTGCTTTTTTAGTTCGTACAGATGCACTTGCTTTGTTAGGAATAAATTTACCGTAGGAAGCTTCCTTAGCTTTTCCTGGTTTTCTACACTGTGGGTTTATATCAAGCGTTAATACAAAAATTTATCAATCTATATCACCCATACATGTCGGTGCACTACAGTAGCTACTCTAACTAGCTATGCTTTCCAGGAAATGCTATCGCTTGTCCAAATCTTTTGCCTTTTCGTAGTCATTATGAAAATGGTGTGTTCTAGCCACTCTACTTCCAATTTAAATGACTCACTTACCGCAGTCCAGGTGTTCCTTCCTTGAAGCTGGTTTGTTTAGCAACAGCCCTTCGTTTTTCGCAGTTTTTGTTATTCGGTACAACCACAGGTACACAGCTGATCCAACCGAGGTAGTAGTTTCCACTTGTTCTGAACAGTGACCCGCCATCGGGCATCTAAAACTACGGAAGCTAGTAGTAGTCCTATAGGGAGATTGGAGTTTGTGTCCGCTTCTTTTTTTGTCTCGCCTGTTTGTGTTTAATAGATTCCTCATGGTAATACTCCGCATCTGGCTACCACATGTCTACTCTAATCGATGAATATTCGTGTCGAGGTCGTAACGTGGACACAGCTTGGATTAATCTGTCTTTGGGGCTCACATCCCATGGAACGCAGATGTCTGCAGGCCGTCAACTTCTGTCTATCAGGATTTCTGTTCGTGGACTGCGATCACCACTAGCAACAATAGCTATTTAACACCATGTTAGATTAGTTCATATAAGAATCTCATAGGAAGGCTAAACAACTGAACATTGGAGAATGGTGTAGTGCCAGTTTACCATACCCTTCAGCACTTATTCCTTCAAACTTGCTGGGACCCGCGAGATGAACGCCATCCGTATATTGCAGAGTTCGGATTCGAGCCCACCCAATCTCAAGCAACACTCTACACTTTGCTGGTGTGAATAACATGTCAAACTGCGAGACAGAGTTGTTTAGATTATTTACTATCGTCTGCATTAAGGTGACATCAAATTCAAGAAGGGCCATTCCGTTTGTGCCCTCGATGTCTATGAACGAATACCCCGGGAGCGTTTCGAACGTATAGAGCATTAGAGGCTGAGAATGAGTTTTGTATGATCATATCAATGGAGAACTTGAAGAGAAACGTCCAAGATCTTATCAATATGGTCCAAATCCACAATGAACCACCCAGCCCGTTATTCCTATACTGCAAGACGCCAGTCATAATTTGACGTGATGAAACATGTGTTCTGGTGTTCTCTTCCGGATTAGCCTGAATCAACGGAATCATAGGGCCTTTAGGTGCTGTCACGCTGGAATCGGTTTCTCATTTTCCTTCCACTATTACTTTTACTTCAAAAATATAGTCAACCAAACAATGATGGAGACTCTGCAATAACTTTGCAGGCTGAATGACGTTCTTTAAGCCTCAGATCGCATCGACAACACATCAATCTATTTAAATCCTTCAGACTTTTTATCACATAGTTCTGTGTTCAGTCTAAAGGGTCGTACATATCTGGCCATCTCGTTCTTTTGAGCATGTTTGTTATCGAACCAAAAGATATTATACTTCTAAATGTACCACAAATGCAGTTATGATCGTAGCATTTACTGAGCTTGTTGAGATATACGCCTAATTATCCGTACTTCTACACTGGTATCGCAATAACCCTTCACTTTTAAATGCCTAACCAGGATGACAACACTTGAATATGAAAATGGCACCTTGCGTACCTAAAATTTGACCTCATACGAAACACCTCATGGTAGCCTAACTTTCTACTTTTTTACTGGTTACATCTTGCAGCGCACTTTCCAGGAAAACTTCGGAACCTCCAGATAACTTCAAAGATAAGATTTTCTCAGCCTTCTTTGACTGCTGAGTAGCAGCTTACGGCTGCATCGACGAGTGGGTCATAAATCCATTCTTCCGCCCTTTATCGTTCTATGATCGAATTCACCGACAACGGTTGAACAGTCCGAAGCTTGAGTTGATAAATCCCTTAGAATCTGAACCCCCTTTCAATAATCTTACCCGACGTTTATCCTCCTCACTCCCAAGTTTCACCAATTTCTGTTATAACTTCGCCTACTCGTTTGAGTAGTGTAGTTTCATTTCCACTTTTTCACTCTTGAAACAGCTGCGTGAAAAGATGGCTTATTTGGACCGCCAGTTTTCCAGAATCGGTGCATCGTGCTCTAGAAGCAGCCCAGGACGACTACATTACGACGGGTTGTGTATGCGCTTGATAAACCAAGCAATTGGGCGGGCTGTACGACATGCGAACGACTATGCGGCGGTGGTTCTCCTCGATCGGCGGTTTTCTCGCTCGTCCGTCGGTT